GGGGCAGGAAGAGGGGCGAAGAGAAGGAGGGGAGGGGGGGGGGGGGGGGTGAGGAGAGAGAGAGGTGTTTATAACAAGTATTAAGTACCTTAAAGTCAATGAAACCATATGTGCGGCCATATCGGTTCCTTGATCTAGGCTCAACGTGGATGCGTAATATCTCGCCACATTGACTGTACCTATCCCATAACTCCCGGGGGGACGCATTGATTGGCAAGTTCCGCAGGTGCATGGTAGAAATTTTCATGTCTCCCTGTCTTATTCTCGGAATATCAAGCGGCAGATCATCAGAATCGTCGAGTCCACCTCTGGCGACACTGACCTTGTCAGAGAATTCGCCAACTCCCACCTCCCCATCCTCCTCCTCCTCCTCCTCCTCCTCCTCACCCACCTCAACCTCATCTTCATCTTCGTCTTCGTCTTCATCTTCATCTTCATCGTCGTCATCTTCTTCTCCTTCTTCTTGATCCTCTGACATGTACAAATCCAGTGGTGGCGGCTCCGCCTGCTGCTTTCCCAATTCTACATAACTGATCTTCGGCAAAGTATCGCGAAGCGACAGCTCATTATTTCCATTCACCGCACTCTCGTGGACATTGTTTCCTAACATTCGCAACCGGTCCAGCAATAACTCTTCGCTGCCTCCGACATGGGAATTAGGCACTTGACTTTGACTTTCACTTTCACTTTGACTTTGACTTTGACTTTCATGCTCTGACACGTCCGCTGAATGATGCGCTGATGCGTATCCATTCGTATAAATGTCGTCAGGACCGGCAATCCCCTCCTGCGCTCGGGACAAATCCTCGTCGTCAGGCGCAAATTGATGACCTAACTTTCCAACTAGAATCGACGCCGTTGGAAGTCTTCCATTGAGCGGGCTTGTGCTGTAAACAAAGAAGACAAAAAAAAGTCACAGACCATGAGAATTTTTCTGGCGAGATCCAAAAACAAGCACAGAAAATCATGAGAATTTTTCCGACTCAATGGAAGACAAAAAAGTCACAGACCATGGAAGACTCATGGAAGACTCATGGCGTAAGCGGCGAGAGCCAAAAAAAAAAGCACAGAAAATCATGAAAAATTTTAATGGCTACGATCCGGACCACCGGACAGGGATCCGGACCGTCCATGGTCCAGGGTCCGGGGTCCGGGTCCGGATCTTGGTCCGGATGTGAGGGCCCTAGCCCAATGGCCAAAAAAATTTCGGTGGTCGGGGGCGATTGTTCATGCCCTGGGCCGCCCAAAAAAAATAGTGCCTTATTTTTTACCACCCTCACCAACGATCCAGACAGCCCAGAAAACGACGGGGGTTGGTTTTCTTTGTTTTTTTTTTTTTTTTTTCATACGTGCGGCGGCGCACTGAAAAAAAAAAATTGAAAAAGTTGAAAGGACAGTGTGGGGTGGCCAAACATTCCCCTCGCTTCTGAAAATCACAAAAGAAGAGGAAGAAAAGTCGGGGCCACACCATACCCCAAAACTGTCCTAGTTGGGTCCAGCCTCTTTTCAGTAGGATCCCTACAGCATACTAGCCAGGATCCTACGTCATATAGAGGTACAATTCAAACTTGTACTTCGTGAGCGTGGGCAGAGAATGTATAGTCTGGATTCAAATTCAGGTCTGTGCATCTCGGTTCTGGGTCAGTATTTCTCTGTTTTCTCGTTTCTCTTTTCTTCTCTCGTTTTCCTTTTCTCTTTTCTTTTCTCGTTTTTCTTTTCTTTTCTCGTTTTTCTTTTCTTAGGAATACGTGCAGTGGCCCTAAGGGCCTCTACTCACCAAATGCACAAAAGACAAAACACGTATTATTCCACGTTCTGCAGAAGATTCATTCTAATTTTGAACATTTCGTGAGTAGTGCAGCCAAGCCCTAAGAGTCACGTGCAGAGAGTGCCAGAGATCAACAAGGCCTAGCTACGCGAGCAACCCATAACAGCTGAAACACAGACCTGAACCCGAATCTTGACTATATATTCGGCCAGCTCGTGCTCTACTTCATATCCGCTGCCTGCCTCAATTTTGTGGGGGTTTCGCACTACATGGCTGCGAGGACCCTTCAGATGGCCTGCATGGGCCATCTGATCCGTGTTAAGGGGACCAGTTGCTGAGGTTGCTCTCTCTCTCTCTCTCTCTCTCTCTCTCTCTCTCTCTCTCTCTCTCTCTCTCTCTCTCTCTCTCTCTCCGCCAATATACACACACACACCTTAAAAAAAAAA